TGGATGTGCTCCTGGTCGTGGTCAGGGCGCCGGGATAGGGCATCTGCGCCCCGATTAGTCTCACCCTTGATGTGCTCAGTGGTGAAACTAAACTCGGATAGGTCGCGCCACCAGCGAGCCTGTCGAGGAGTGAGCTTCGGCTTAGTCAGAAAAGCCTGGACAACAGAGTTGTCCGTGCGCACCGTGAATGGTGCCCCATGCAGGTAGTGACGCCAGTGCCGAGCGGCATAAACTATTGCGAGAACCTCACGTTCATCAGCAGTGTAGTTTATCTCGGCAGGCAGGAGCTGGCGGGAGTAGAAGGCTATCGGACAATCACTTGAGCGAGTCTCGACAGTGCCGTCCTCGACGATGGTAGGAGAATAGTCAATAGGAGGCTCGTCAGTAGCTGGACGAGTAGGCATCAGTCGGGAAGCAGTGGTAGGGGTAGGTGGTGGGAAGCGAGGGATACGAGGATGAGAGGAATCAGGAGAGGAGGGGAAGACTTGAGAAAGCACTGCTCCTACAACAAAGTCTGACGCATCGGTGGTAAGGATAAAAGGGCGATCAAAATCGGGTAGGTGAAGAACCGGTGCGCATGTCACCGCCTTCTTGAGGGCGCGGATGGCGTCCTCGTGGAGGGGTGTCCAAGCCCAGGGTGGGTTCTTCCGGAGGAGGGTGGAGGTAAGGACGTAGGAATACCTAGCGTATCACTGGATGAAGTTACTATAGTAGCTGGTCTGGCCTAGGAAGCTGCGAAGCTGCTTGGCGGATGTGGGGGCGGGCCACTCCACAATAGCAGTGATCTTCGCGTCGTCCATGTGGAGACCCTGGTCAGACACATAATGTCCTAAGAAATCCACTTTGTGCTGGGCAAAGCGGCACTTGCTCATCTTGGCGTAGAAGCCATGTCTGCGCAAGCGGTCAAGGATGTCTCGGAGGTGTTTGAGGTGCTCCTCAAGGGTACGACTGTAGACCAGGATATCGTTGAGGTAGACGAGAATGTACTTCTCCAGGATGTCCCTGAAGATGTCGTTCATCGCCCTCTGAAAGGTAGCGGGAGCATTAGTGAGGCCGAATGGCATCACCGTGAACTCGTAGTGACCGAATCGCGATCGGAACGCGGTCTTTGGCTGGTCGGCTGCAGCGACGCGGATCTGATGGTAACCGCTACGAAGATCAATCTTCGTAAAGAAGCGGTTGCCTGCTAGGCGGTCGAACAGCTCAGCGACGCGGATCTGATGGTAACCGCTACGAAGATCAATCTTCGTAAAGAAGCGGTTGCCTGCTAGGCGGTCGAACAGCTCATCGGAACGAGGCATGGGTTAGCTGTTCTTAACCGTGTAGCGGTTGAGACCGCGATAGTCGATGCAGAGACGGAGAGTTCCGTCCGCTTTGCGAGCAAAGAGGACGGGTGCACCCCACGGGGAGTTGCTGGGTTTAATGAAACCCAGTCWCAGGAGCTCCTCAAGCTGACGCTTGAGTTCGGTGGCCTCGGGGATCGAGAGTCTGTAGGGTGCCTGGTGGTGAACACGATAGTCAGGCATAAGCTGAATGGAGTATCGACGTCACGCATCGGTGGGATGCCGGCCTACGAGAACGACGATGGGAAAACGTCGTGGTACTTTCGGACGAGGTCACGAACTTGGGCCTCCAAGTCAGCCGTATATCGTGCGAGTTCCTCAGCGTCAGCGTCAGCGCGCAACGGCGTGGTGGACTCGACGGACGGCGGAGGGACGAAAGTAGAGATGGGAGCCATGGAGATAGAGGGAGGATTTAGCTCCATAGGGATGAGCTCGGCGTCGGGACAGGGTGGATCATAGTGTAAGAGATCCGTCACGTCCACCATAAAGAAGGTGACGTCGTCCTGTCGAATGAAGTGAGCGAACTGCCGAAGCGAGGTGACCGTGATAGAGGGAGATGGTGTAGGCACTGAAGGCTCCGGGGGAGGAGGATCGGGGCGTGGTGTCGCCGTGGTACCTATGAAAGGTACGAGATACGTCTGTCCACACTTCGTTTTGAGAACGAGAGTGTTGGTCGCCCAATCGGCCTCGGTGCTGCGGAACCGACGAGACCACGGAATGCCGAGAATGAAGTCGTACCCCGTCTCCATCACATCGAAATGTGCAGAGGAGTGGTGGCGACGAGACGCCGGAGAGAGATCAGTCGGCTCGAGAGTGAGGAAGAAGGGGAGGTCGGTGACCGTCTAATCGAAGACGCGCTGGGTCTTGTCATCCCCTAGGGTAACGGAGATGGGAGTCGGAGACCCTGTCGTGGGTAAGCGGGCTTCCTTCACCACGCGTGGGTGAATGAAGTCGCCCTGAGAACCGGAATCCCACAGCGCTGAGTACACCCTCATGGAGGTCCCGAGTCGTACTGGGATGATTGGGAGGGTGCGATCAGGGTCAGAGAGGATGGCGAGAAGGCGACGCAGTGCAGCGACATGGAGGGTGAGTCGCTCCTGACGAGCCTGGAGCATGCTCAAGTCCAGAAGAGAGGACACAACGTCCTCGCGAGTAGCAAGCTGCTCGCTGCAACGGGCTGAACGAATGGCTCGACGCGTCGGTAGTCGCGGCGGAGAAGGAGGGGAGACGGTGGTCTGCGGAGGCGCAGACGGTACTGCGACAGAGGGCTGAGTACACTCTGTCGATTCCTGCAATACCTCAACTCCAATAGCGAGAGGGGCGAACCGCGACGGAGATGTCGGGAAACCCACTACTGAGGAGGGCGCAGGTGTACACTGCACCGTGGTTAGGAGGCGCCGCGGGGACGTGAGGCGCCGGGGTGGGATTGAGCACGACGCTGACGGGAAAGGTCAGCGTAGTGGCAGTCGAGGGCGGTAGTGTAAGGGCACCGCGAGGAGGTATGACCGTCCAAGCGGCAGCGCAAACACCCACGCCGGCCCAGAATAGCCGCGCGCTCCTCAGCGGAAAGGACACCACGAGGAGGGACGAAGCCCTGAGGGAGGTCCTCCTGAGGGACCTCGGGGGGCGACGCGCCAGCGTGACCAGGGCGGTTGCGTGCCCGAGAGAGGGCGGAGAGCGCGAGCTGAAGGCGCTCAGCTGCAGGGAGGGTAGAGTCCTCCAAGTGATAGTGGACGGCCTCGCAGAGATCGAGGTCGTCGCTGTGGTCGCCCTCAGATGACAGTGGGGCAACAACGTCCTGCTCACCATACTCCAGCGCGCTGAAGCGGCGCGAGAAGTGGCGGCCCTGCTACGTGGAACGGCGAGGGCGACTGCGGAAAGGGGAACGGCGCTGGGAAGTGCCGTGAGAGGAGGAGGAGGCGTAGCCCGTGCGCTGGGGCTGGGAGGAGAAGGCGGGGTGAAGACGGGCTCGCATCCGCTGGTGATCCCTTGCGGCCTCGTAAGCCTGTGGGGCCGATGTGAACTTGTACCGCCATAGCTTGGAGCGGTACTCGAGCGGAAGGCTGGCCAAGAAACGATCGATAAGGGAAGCCTCGGGGAGGAACGCCACGTCGCAAACGAGGCGGGCGTCCTAAAAGACCTGGATGTGGCGATCTAGGCCGGCAGCGCCACCAGAGCCGGACCAGCGTGTAGTGACGACACGCTCGAAGGCGTCAGTCACGTCGTATCGGGCTTCGAAGCGATCCTTGAGGAACGCCTGGAAATCCACGAAGGTCGGAGTCCGACCCTCACAAAGGGAGTAGGCATAGAAATCCTCCCAGGCCTCGAAAGGACCGCCACGCAGGCGTGTGGAGAGGTGACTCACCCACGTCTCGGGTGTGGCGCCCATGAGCTGGAGTGTGAGGGTGGCAAACTGCAACCACCGAGACACACATATGCCTATACCGTCATACAAGGCAATGTCCGACAAGCGGATGAGTGGGGCGCCACCGTTTTGGCGGCGAGGGGATCGAGGAGCGGAGGCCTGTGCCACGACTGAGTAAGTCGGCGCAGGTCCTGGAGAAAGGGGCGCAGCTGACTGTGCGCCCGGGCCGCATGGGGGAGTGGCGGTGGCAACAACGGCAGGCTGCAAGAGTGTTGCGGAAGAAGAGGTCGTAGCAACCGCGGGAGTAGGAAGAAGGTAGGAAGGAGTTGTATAGGGTGCAGGGCACGAAAAGCGAGCCTGCATGGGAGGAAGGGTAGAGGAGGTAGGGGGTGCGCTCGAAGGCGCGACCACCTGTGAGGGTGGGGGTGGCTGAAGGCGTAAGAGGGCGAGGTCGGCCCGGAGCTGGGCAATCTCGTCCGCGAGACCTCGAACGTAGGTCGATCGAGGGGTGGCAGGAGGAAGAGTGGAGGCGGTGGACGCACAAGCGGCGCGGGGCATCCCAGAGGGGGGAGAGCCAGGTGGCGCTGCGGTCGTGCGAAGGGGAGGGAGAAGTGGGGCACCCGGAAAAGCTGAGACCATGGTAGCGGGTTGTTGTACCGTGGCCGTAGTGACCGGGATCTGGGCGGGTGCGCTCGTAGTCTGAGGAGGGGCCTGGCTCGTGGCAGCCATCGTGCTAGGGGCGTGGACAGTCACCAAGATGGCCGGGTCAGGGGCAACGGAGGAGGAAGTTCCGCCGTGGCCACGGGTGCGCACGTAGACTGAGNTCGTGCTAGGGGCGTGGACAGTCACCAAGATGGCCGGGTCAGGGGCAACGGAGGAGGAAGTTCCGCCGTGGCCACGGGTGCGCACGTAGACTGAGGGGGGGCCTGACTCGTGGCGGCCGTCGTGCTAGGGGCGTGGACAGTCACCAAGATGGCCGGGT